GTGGCCAGCAACGAGGTGGGCGAGGCCCGCAAGGTCTACCAGGTGACCGTCCACGGTGAGTCGGCACAGGTGATGGGGCAGCGGCAGCCTGCCCACGGGACGCCGCCTCCAGGAAGCTCTCCTGGATGGAACCCTGGCACACTTCCTGGCAGCTGCTCAATCCAGAAGGTTCTAGACCCAACTTTGACCTTCGGGTTGAAATCCCTCCCCGAGGACCCTACTGGCCGGTGGGGTTCGATTCCTCACGCAGTCTCACCTCACTCTGGGCTCTGGTCATGCTGCTCAGCTTTGAGCTCCTGGGATCAGGGCCTTTGCACATGCTCTTCCTGTGCCGGGAACCCCCTCCCCCCACACACACCCCCATCAGCCACCTCCTGCTTTGCCATCTGACCTCAGGTTAAGGGTCACACCCCTAGAGGCCTTCCCCAGGCACCCCACAAAGTCCCCAATCACACTGAGGCTGCCACACCTGTCACCTCCTGCCTCCCCCAGGCCCTGTCCCTGTGGGGATCCCTGCCCCCCACCCCCGGGGTTCCCCCAAGCCTCTCTTGGTAGTTCTTCTGGGCCATGGCCACATGGAGCCCCGCCCCTAACGGGCCCCGGGCTCCACCTTGGTTCCAGCACCTCCCACCATTGCCGACGACCAGACTGAGTTCACGGTGACCAGGATGGCCCCCGTGGTGCTCACATGCCACAGCACAGGCGTGCCCTCCCCGGCTGTGTCCTGGAGCAAGGCCGGCACCCCGCTGGGGGCCAGGGGCGGCGGCTACCGTGTCCTACCCTCGGGTAAGTAAGGGCCAGTGGCAGAAAAGTGGCCCACGGGGGACAAGGGAGATGCGGGCGTGCGCCGAGCGGATGGAGAGCCTGGGCGGTGAGTCGGGCATTTCCAGCCTGGCTCCGCCACGCCTTGGCTGTGTGGCCCTGGAGAAACCCCTCGCCCTCTCTGTGCGGCTGTGTGGGAGGGCCCTCAGTGTCTCCAGGTTAGTAGAGCCGGTGTGGTTTCATGGCCAAAGAGAAGGAAGGATGAGGGGCTGGAGCTGCGGTGAGGCTGGCTATGCCACAGGCAGGACTGTCTTTTTGGCGGGGAGAGGCCTGGGTGCTGTCCCTCAGCTCTTCAGCTCAAGGCAAGCGCTCTACCACGGGAGCCACAGCACCACTTCCGGTTTTCTGAGTGGTTTATTGGAGATAAGTCTCACAGGTTTTTGTGCCCAGGCTAGCTTTGAACCGTGATCCTTAGATCTCAGCCTCCTGAGTAGCTAGGATGACAGGCGAGAGCCACCAGCACCTGGCTCAGGACTGGCTTTTATTCTGAAATCACCGCTCTTCGTCTTCAGTGCGGAGAGTCCCTTTCTTTGATGAAGTACAAGGCAATCGCAGGTGGTGATGTGTTTTCTTATTTCCTTTCGGCAGTTCTAGGATTTGGACACAGGGCTCTTCCACGTGAGTCACGGCACCCAGCTCTTTTGCTCTGGTTATTTATTTATACTGGTACTAGGGCTTGAACTCAAAGCCTGGGCACTGTCCCTGAGCTTTCTTCACTCAAGGTTGGTGCTCTACCACTTGAGCCACACCCTACTGCCAGCTTTTTGTTGGCTACTTGGACATAAGAGTCTCTTGGATTTATTTATCTGCAATCCTCTCAGCCTCCTGAGTACCTAGGATGACCGACAGGAGCCCCTGGTGCTTGACTGCTCTGGTTATTTTTGAGAGTCTTGCTGTTTTTCCCGGGCTGGCCTCAGACTACAATCCTCCTGATCTCTGCTTCCCAAGTAGCTAGGATTACAAATGTGAGCCGCAATGGCTCATGTGGCCAAGATGGTGGTCTTTTGAAATGTCTTTGTTAAAAGAAAGGTTAGTGACTTTATGCAGAGCCTGGAAATCAAATGTATGTTTGTTAGTTGGTGAAAAGTTTTAGCATCTGGGATGCTGGACAGCTGTGTGGTTTGCAGACTCCTTAGCGGCGGTAGAAACGTTTCTTCCAGTAAGTGGCCATAGCCAAGCCCAGTGTACAAGGCAGGTCATAACCATGGCCAGCCCCGAGGCCAGCAGCCTTCCCTTCCCCAGACCCACCCGCAGGCCCCCAGAAGACACTAGAAAGCGCTCTGCTCAAAGGCCAGAACGCTCCCTGGGGCCAAGAGGGTGAGGCGGTGCTCACCCTTGCTCAGAGAGCAGAGGAGCTGGAAATCTGGGGGGGCTTCCCGGAGGAGGTGAGCAACGCAGGGGGCAGAGCTCCGGGGCCTGGGATTCTGGGTCTGTGGAGCCTGGGGGGCTCCACAGGCCACCTCCTCTAATTCTGTCTTGTCCACATGGAGAAACTGAGGCCCAGAGAGTAGAAGGGACTTTTCCCTGGTTGTGCTTTCAGGCAGAACTCAGGTTCCCATGCTTTCCTGGGAGCCCCACCACCTCCTCCACCCCCCCCCCCCCCCTCAGCACCCGCGCCCCCCCACAGGAGCGCTGCAGATCGAGCATGCCCTCCCCATCCACACTGGCCGCTACACCTGCACCGCACACAACTCTGCCGGCGTGGCACGCAAACACGTGGCCCTCATCGTGCAAGGTGAGGTCCTGGGGGGGGAGGGGGGAGAGGGGGGCGCCCTCGAGGGAGGGGCTGCCCCCGAGGGAGGGGGGAGGGGGGCAGATGGAGACCTGGCGGTGGGTGGGGCTGGGAACGGAGGGAAGGCCCAGGCCCCAGCCTCTCCTGCCCAGCCTCCCCTGCTCTGATTCCCTGGTGGAGGCCCTGGGGGGCGTCCCGCGGAGCGGCCGGTGGGGGGAAGGCCGCAGGACTCTGGTCCCTCTGCCTCCAGCCTCTCCCGTGGTGAAGCCGCTGCCCAGCGTGGTGGAGGTGTTGGAGGCGCAGGGGGCGCTGCTGCCCTGCGAGGCCGTGGGGGCGCCCCTGCCCACCATCTCCTGGCAGAAAGAGGGGCTGAACATCCAGGCAGGTGAGGCCCCTGGGGAGGGGAGGGGAGCGGGGCCCCCCGAGATTCACAGCACCCTCAGGGACCCCCCACAGAGCCTGCCCCTCCCAGCTCCCTCCGAGAGTCAGGGCTGCCGCGCACCCCCGCCGCCCGGCCCCAGACTCCCCTCCCCACCCAGGCGCGGGCACCCAGGTCCTGCCCAGCGGACACCTGCGGATCGCCCACGCCAGCCCGGAAGATGCTGGGAACTACTTATGCGTCGCCCAGAACAGCGTGGGCAGCGCAGTGGGGAAGACGCGGCTGCGGGTGCTAGGTGAGCCTGGGCAGGGCCCACACAGATGGTTCCGGAAGATCTCTCTCCTCCTGCAGGCAGCCTGGCTGCGTGGACACCCCCTCCCCAGCCTGGTCTGGCCCCTCTGGGGACACTGGTCCGGCCTCCCTCTGTCATTAGGATTTGGTGACAGTCATCATTTCTTCTTGTCCTCTGTGTGTGTGCACGTATGCATGTGTGTGTGCGTGTGCACGTGTGCATGTGTGTGTACGTGTGCACGTATGCATGAGTGTGTCAGTACTGGGGCTTGGACCTTGGGCTAGGTGCTGTCACTCAGCATTTTTTTGCTCAAGGCTGGTGCTCTACCACTTGAACCACACCTCCACTTGTGGCTTTTTGGTGGTTCATTGGAGGTAAGAGTCTCCTGGACTCTCCTCCCCAGGCTGGCTTTGAACCGTGATCCTTAGCTGTCAGCTTCCTGAGCAGCTGGGATCACAGGCGTGAGCAGCGGCGCCCAGAGGCAGCGCTGAGGCGTGTCCCTCAGTCACTGCCACGCCCCCCGTGACACCGACAGGGCCTGGCACGCTCAAAGTGCCCAGCGTGCCGCGGCCCTGCTTGGCAGGAGGTGCTGCATGGCTGTTGCTGTGTGGGGCGGAGGTCAGACGTGGCTGTGAACCGGGAGGCGCGGGGAGCTCTGTGTCCCCTCCCCGGTGGTGCTTGGTGCTCGTCCCAGACAAGCCCTACACCAAGTGCACCAGCCGTGACCTAAACGCACCGCCCGTGACCCACGCTGCCGCCGTGCAGCTCCCAGAGTGAGGGGCACGTGCGGGCTCCGGAAGCGGCCACGCATGCAGAGTCTGTGCCCACATGGGCCGTGTGTTTTTGTGTGCATGCTTGCACACGTGGGCAGGTGCACCAGCCGCCCTGGCATGGCTGCACCTGGCTCAGAACCCTGCAGTGACAGGGCTGGGCCGCTGCGGGACAGCTGGCTGGGGAGGGGCGAGGAGGCCAAGGAGAGCGGGACAGGAGGACAGGGAAGGGCCGCCCCAGCACAGCCTCCGCTGGGACCCTCTCCCCTCCCCACAGTCCCCCCCGTGATCGACAGCGGCCTCCCGGACCTGTCCACCACCGAGGGCTCCCACGCGCTCCTGCCCTGCACGGCCAGGGGCAACCCCGATCCCGACATCACCTGGGAGAAAGATGGCCAGCCCGTGGCGGGCGCTGAGGGCAGGTTCTCCATCCAGCCCTCCGGGGAGCTGCTGGTGAAGAACTCGGAGGTGAGCGGCCCAGGAGCAGCCGCCTGAGGAAGCCCGGGCTGCTATCCTGACTCACTCACTAGCCAACAGACCGGAGTCAGATTTGAACCTGGCCAGGGTTCGGTGATTCACAGCTGTAACCCTAGCTGCCCAGGAGGCTCAGATCTGAGGATTGAGGTTCAAAGGAAAGTCTGTGAGACTCTTATCTCCGATTAACTACCAAAAAGCTGGAAGTGGGGCTTTGTTTCAAGTGGTAGAGAACTAGCCTTGAGCAAACAAAAAAAGCTGAGGGAAAGCTCTGAGTTCAAGCCCCAGGACCACCACCAAAAAAAAACAGAACTGAGCCGGGCACCGGTAGCTCACGCCTGTCATCCTAGCTACTCAGGAGGCTGAGATATGAGGATCGCAGTTCAAAGCCAGTCTGGGCAGGAAAGCAGGAAAGTCCATGAGACTTTTTTTTTTGGGGGGGGGTCCAGTCGTGGGGTCTGAACTCTGGACCTGGGCGCTATCCCTCAGCTCTTCAGGTCAAGGCTAGCACTTTACCACTTGAGCCACAGCGCCACTTCCGGCTTTCTTCTTTTTGCGTATGTGGTGCTGAGAAATGGAACCCAGGGCCTCATGCATGCAAGGCAAGCGCTCTACCACTGAGCCACCTTCCCAGCCCCAGTCCATGAGACTTATCTCCAATAAATGACTCAGAAAACCAGAAGTGGTGCTGTGGCTCAAGTGGTAGAGTGCTCACCTTGAGCTGAAGAGTGCAGGGACAGCGCCCAGGCCCAGAGTTCAAGCCCCACGACTGACCAAAAACAAAAAAAGAATTGAACCTGGACATGTGCTGGCCTCAACCTCAGTACCGAATGTCCCGTGGTCAGGGAGTTACTGAGCCAGGGCTGGGATCGATGGGACCCCCGATCCCTTTCTCCCCAAATTTCCCCAATGTGAGGGCTTGAACTCCAGACCTCCTGCTCCAGCTTGGCTTTTTCACTCAAGGCTGGCACCCTACCCTCGAGTCACACCCCTACTTCCAGCTTTTTGCTGGTTGCTTGAAGATAGGAATCCTTTGGGCTTTCCTCACTGGGCTGGCTTTGAAGCTCCATCCTCAGATCATAGCCTCCCGGGGACCCAAGATTACAGGTGTGAGCCGCCAGCCCCGGGCTGAGCAGATGCTGTCATCACAGAAAGCTGCTCTCCCGATGGCTAGGGAGCTGTGTGGTGACGAACACGGGCAGGGCTCACACATGAGCGGGAGTCCCCCAGGCTTCAGATCCTGCCCCACCGGGCCCGGCCGTGCAGCGGGGAGCACACTGGCCCTGCTCTGATGCACCCCAAAACTTAACTCAGACCCTCTCTGTACCAAAAGTAGGACGGATCAGGCCTAACACGCGGCGGCGATCGGAACACGGGCCTGCCTGGTGCCGTCCTGCCCCGCGGCAGGGCTTGGGTGGCAAAGCGGCGGCCGAATCGCAATGACGGGAAGCGCTCGTGCGCTGGCGGAGTGGCCGTGGCCGGGCGCTGGACCCCCGGGGACCGTGCGGAGTGGATCTCAGGCTGATGCCTCTCTCTGCCTCCCCCCCTACCCCCCAGGGCCAGGACGCAGGCACCTACACCTGCACGGCCGAGAACGCCGTGGGCCGCGCCCGCCGCCGCGTGCACCTCACCATCCTGGCGCTGCCTGTCTTCACCACGCTGCCCGGAGACCGCAGCCTGCGCCTTGGGGACCAGCTGTGGCTTCGTTGTGCGGCTCGGGGCAGCCCAACGCCCCGCATCGGCTGGACCCACAACGACCGGCCGGTCACAGGTCTGGTGGGACAGGCACACCCCGGAAGACAGTAGGTGCTCAATCAGTGCCTGCTGCCGCTTGTCTCCACTGCAGATGATAGTTTCCTACTTTAGAATGCAGTACCAGCCAGGCGCTGGCGGCTCACGCCTGTCGTCCTAGCTACTCAGGAGGCTGAGATCTGAGGATCGTAGTTTGAAGCCAGCCCAGGCAGGAAAGTCCGTGAGACTCATCTCTAATTAATCACAGAGAAAGTTGGAAGGGGCGCTGTGGCTCAAATGGTAGAATATTAGCCTTGAGCAAAAAGAGCTCAGGAACAGTCCCCAGGCCCACAGTTTAAGACCCTGGATTGGCCAAAATAAAAGAATGCAACAACGTTTGAGCCAGGCGCCCGGTGGCTCACGCCTGTCATCCTAGCTACTCAGGAGGCTGAGATCTGAGGATCGGGTGGTTCAAAGCCAGCCTGGGCAGGAAAGTCCATGAGACTCTTTTTTTTCCTTATTTTTTTTTTTTTTGTCTGGTCGTGGGGCCTGAACTCTGGGCCTGGACGCTGTCCCTCAGCTCTTCAGCTCAAGGCCAGCGCTCTACCACTTGAGCCACAGGGCACCTTCTGGCTTTTTTCTTTTTGCTTATGTGGTATTGAGGAATCGAACCCAGGGCCTCAGGCATGCAAGGCAAGCGCTCTACCAGTGAGCTACCTTCCCAGCCCTCCATGAGACTCTTATCTCCGATAAACCACTCAAAAACCGTAAGTGGCACTGTGGCTCAAGCTGAGAGAGAGCACCTAAGCCTAGAGGTCAAGCCCCACAACCGACAAAAAAAAGAATGTAACACCAGCCAGTCCTAGCCCCAGGCCACAGCTGTGCCCCCTGCGCCAGACGTCCCTGCCTCCATGGGGCAGGAAACCTGGGCAGGTCCCTCATCTACCTCAGAGACCCGCCGTGACCTCTGCCAAACTCATCGTCAAACCAGGTTCCAGGCAGATTCTGTTTTAGTTTCTTTCTGCCAGTACTGGGGCTTGAACCTGGCTTTACACCCTCACTTGGCTTTTTCACTCAAATCTGGTGCTCTATCACTTAAGCTACTTTCATCTTTAAAAAAAAAAAAAAAAAGGGCTGGGAAGGTGGCTCAGTGGTACAGCACTTGCCTCACATGCATGAGGCCCTGGGTTTGATTCCTTAGCACCACATAAGCAAAAAGCCGGAAGTGGCGCTGTGGCTCAAGTGGTAGAGCACTAGCCTTGAGCTGAAGAGCTGAGGGACAGCACCCAGGCCCAGAGTTCAGGCCC